TGTAGCTTTGCGCGAACTTCAAAAACAAACAAACTTATAAACGCTTATATTGATATTACGTTATTCAACAAACATTAACTATACGAAAGTACCTAAAGCTAACACCTAATGTTTGTGTGTTCTGTAAGTAAAGGATATTCTATTATTTCATTATTGTTACTTTCATTAACAGTATTGATGAGAATGTTTAATATATCTAATTTTATTGTTATACTTTTATATTATAGAGATCGTTTTGTATTGTTATATTAACATATGAATTTAAGATTAACCTAAACTCCTACACTGGTCAATATTATTATTAGATATTACTAGGATTACGGTCGAAAACATCGTTAACAACGAGGATAGCCAACTGATGAAACAATGCATTTTAACCTTTATAAGTAAAACGTAAGAAAGGTATATTTAATTAGCTATACTCAGTGTCAGGCTTACTTTTAGTTTTGTTTTAATTAGGTAACTTGCTTTGATCTGAATTTAATATTAATAAGTGTTTCATTGTATTTTGTCTTCAAAAGTTTTCGTGTGCATATTTTGTGCTTTCTATCTTTTTATCGAAAAAAATAAAACAGAAAAATAACTGGAGCTGAATCTCATAATTCAAAGCAAAGCCAATTATCTAGCATAATTTTCCCAAAGTTTTTAATGTGCAGAGGACAGGGGAATAAATTAACGTGATCCACGTATTTCTTTTATCATTCTCAAACTATGGGTAGAATATATTACCTAGGGTCATTATCAACATCTTTAATCCTATCACTGTAAACTGTGCCTAAGATTTTCTTTCTAGCAGTAAAGGTGCCATGACATATTCTGAGCTTTATTTCATAATTTCACAAATGGAATTGTAAGAGACATGGTAGTACCTGATCAAACAGATCCCCCCCCCGCTCTTCCTCGATAACCATTTCTTGAAATATTCAGACATACCCCAATTCTTATTTCTCAAGTTCAGCAATTTTTTAAAACTGACACCCAATCCACACGTCGGTTAAACTTAGCAAACACGTGGGTATTGTTTACTTACTCTCGTCTGACTAGAATGGTAGGAGACACAGTTACTGTGTTACTCAACTGAGAAACTAGTAAAAGGGTAAGACTTCAGCAGCTCACTTCTAGATTATAGGTTAGATAAACAAAAACAGCAGTACTAGTGAGAAATATATTTTTATTGAACTACACCTATTGGTAGATTTAATTTTAAAAAAAAGTGGAGAGCTCCATTCTCTTTAGAATACAAAAACAAATGCTTTTCGAGTTTAAATTCTTTTTACATAAACTTTACTTTGCAACTGCACAAATGACTTTAAGAACGACTCGTTTTTGGGGAGGACGGATGTGCCCCAGTGATTATTGTGCCCGGACAGTGAATCCGAAAATTCCTGGTTCACGGCTCACTGACGATAAAGCCTGTTCCAAAAATTGGGTTAATTGGCGCGGTGTAAAAGATACGGTCAAATACAACAATTCGGTCAGACAAAAATGGACAAGAGCTGTGGTGGTGCTTTTGGCTAGCTGCCTTCTCTCTAGTCCAGCGTTTCCCAAACTATGTTCAGCGGAACACTGGTGTTCCGTGAGAAAATCATGATTTCAAATTTTAATATCAGTATAAAATTAGAGACAGCTACGCACAAATAGCCTTTTGTAGCTTTACTCAAAAATTCTCTAGCAAGACTATCTTCTTTGAGTTAACATTTTTTACATTAACAGACACCACATTTTCTTTGTTGTGTTAATTTAAAGTAATAGACGTTGCAGTACTATTTCAGCTGTGGTTTTGTGTTACACCGTACTGTGTATGCCTGAATAGGCTCATACGTTGCATTGTTTTGAGATCAGGAGAATAACGAGAACAGTACAAGAATAAACGTGACACCCACAGTCTGAGGTTGGCGTTCTTGCTGGCAGTCGATGTAAAACACATCATAATACCTGATATTGCAACATATATTTGCATATAGAAAACAGGTGGTTCAAACTCAAACACTAAAAAATAACAAAGCAAGTCTAGATGGAGAAAAATTTTA